TCATTAAACACCCTCCACCAGCAAGCTACTTTTTTTTAAAACCCATTTAACTATCTAATCTTTAGATAACTTGGCAACATTTTTATTTCCGTATTGAGGGTACCAATATTTATGCAATAATTTTTATTGTCTAACTAACTAATTTTAATTAGGTCCAGATAAATTTATTTTAATAGGCCAGTTCGAAGACATTTTAATAGAATGATTTATCTATTTATCTATTTATACACAGAACATACTCATTTTAAATTTTATCCGGATATAATCATCTAATAACGAATTAAGTGGTATTAAGTGATTTTCATAAGTATACCTTCTGAACTGACCAGAAACGGCGATACCGCCCCATACATGGGGTAAATAAATTTTAAACAAATTTTGTTCTACATCACAAGCATTACATACATATATTTGGCGAATGTGCCCCACGGGCAGTTCTGGGGTTTAGTTTCAATTTTTCAAATGATTTTCGGATGTGGATCTTATATTGGAGCTATGACCAAACATATTTGTGTCAAATTTTATCAAGATAGCTTTATTTGACAATGACATATGAGCTTTTAAATAATTTTCGGAAGTGGACCTTATATGGGAGCTATGACCAATAATGGACCGATCCGTAAAAAATTTGGTAGAATGATTTGTATGTACACAAAACATATTCAATTCGAATTTTATCACAATAGCTTTATTCATCAATGAAATATGTGCGTTTAGGTGATTTTCGGAGCTATGACCAATTGTCGACCGACTGAGATCTGCGTTGATATTATGATTTCTGTTCATATTATATTTGCACTTACAAAATTTTGTGTTGATACCGTTATAGTTGAGGGAGTTATTAACGATAAACTAATTTTCGGGAATATATACCTTTGTATGGGGGCTATGGGAAATATTGGATCGACTGTAAATATTTTGAACATAATTGATGACTGCCCTGAAGAAATAATGTGACAAAATTCATCGAAATATCTTTGGTAGTTTCTGAGAAAACTTCAAAAGAATTATTAAAAAACGTAATTTTTTCGAGGTAGTCTGAAATTTTTACTCATAACTTTCTACGTGTTGAACCGACTTTGCTAATTTTCAATACAAAACTGCTTAAATAATAAATATTTTGGGTGAATTTGGTTGATTTCCTTTGCTTAGTTTTAACGTGAGCGTGTTTTACACAGACAGACAGACGGACATAGCTAAATCGACTTAGAATTTCATAAGGACACAGAATATATATACTTTGTTGGGTCTTAGATGAATATTTCTTGGTGTTACACACGGAACGACAAACTTATATATACCCTATATCACCACTGATGGTGGTGGAGTGTATACAAAATTATTAAATATGATAAAATACTACCAGCCGAATCTTAAATATCCTCCACCAGCAAGCTAGATAAATCGACATAAGTTTTACTTCCGTAGTGAAGGTACTAACATTTATGCATATGTGGAACTAAATGTGATTAGGTCCAATAAAAATTTATATTAAGTGATTTTCGAATGTGGGCCTTGTACAGGTGCTATGATTTATTATGAACCGATCTTGCCGATTCGAGTTTTACTCAGAATTCAATATTTTTATACCCACCATCAAAAAAGATGGGGGGTATATTGATTTTGTCATTCCGTTTGTAACACATCGAAATATTGGTCATAGACCCATAAAAGTATATATATTCCGGGTCCTTATTAAATTCTAAGACGATCTAGCCATGTCCGTCCGTCTGTCCGTCTGTTTGTTGAAATCACGATAGGGACCACACGAGAGGAGCTAGACAGTTGAAATTTTGCTTAAATATTCTCTATTGTTAAGGTTTGTTTGGTATTGAAAATGGGCAATATCGGTCCACTTTTTCGGACCAAAAAACAGCTTTAACGGGCATAACTGCTTTAGAAGTACAAGTATAGCGAAAAAATTCGACATAAATAAGTAATAAGAGCCAAAATCTTTTTACCAAATTTTTTTATGATCGGCCCATAAATGACCCTACCCCCCATATAAGTTCCCCTTCTGAAAATTACTTTAACACTCATTACTGGTTCCAAAATGCAAGTATAGCGATGAAATTCGGTATAAGTATGTTTCTTACGAACCAAAATCTCTCTACCAATTTTTTTTAGGATCCGTCCATAAATGTCCCTACCCCCCATATAAGGTCCCCTTTGGAAAACGACTTTAACACTCATTTCATTCGAGTATAGCGATGAAATTCAGTATAAGTAAGTTTCTTACGAACCAAAACTTTTTAACCAATTTTTTTTTAGGATCGGCCCTACCCCCCATATAAGGTCCCCTTCTGAAAATGACTTTAAATCTCATTACTGGTCCCAAAATGCAAGTATTGCGATGAAATTCGACATAAATTAGTTTCATATGAGCCAAAATCTTTCCACCAAATTTTTTGAGGATCGGTCCATAATTGACCCTACCCCTCATATAAGGTCCCCTTTAGAAAATTACTTTAACACTCCTTACTGGTCCAAAAATGCGAGTATAGCGATGAAATTCGGTATAAGTAAGTTTCTTACGAACCAAAATCGCTCTGAAAATTACTTTAACGCTCATTACTGGCTAAAAAATACGAATATAGCAATAAATTTTTACACAATTAAATTCCTCGCGAGCCAAAATCTTTTTAATAACGTTTATGTAGATAGGTCCATAATTGGCACTACTCCCCCTATTGGGTCCACTTCAGGAAATAGCTTAAACGCTCATAACTGTCTTAAAAATACGAGTAAAGCGATGAAATGTTACACACGTAAGTTTCTTACGAGCCAAAACCTCCGTACCAATTTTTTTGGATCAGACCATAAGTGAACCTTCCCCCATATAAGGCTCCCCTCTGCAAATAACTACAATGCTCATTACTGGCTTAAAAATATGAATGTGACGAAAATTGACGCACATAAGTTTAATGCGTGCCAAAATCTCTCCACCAAATTTAGGGAGGATCGGTCCATAATTTACCCTACCGCCCATATAAGGTCCCCTTCAGAAAATTACTTAGACGATCATTACTGGCTTAAAAATATGAGTTATGAAATACGGTTATGAAATTCGCTCTGAATTTCATGCGGAATGTGTCTGTAATTCACAAAAGGTTCCCTTCAGGAAAGAGTTTTGGTTAATAAAATACGAGTCTTCCTTATTTAAAATACGAGTATAGCGCTGAAATTTTGCATAAACAAGTTCTATACATAATCTATGTACAAAATTTTATGAGTATCGGTTCATAAGAAGTATCGGTTTAAGAATTGAAATAAAATATTTGTTTTTTAAAAACTAATATTTTGTTAGTTCAAAAGATCTCGGTCCATAATTGACTTAAGCCCTATTCCAAAGATCACCCTTTTACGGCATACGGTTTGATGGTGGGTATATGAGATTCGGCACAGCCGAATATAATACTCTTACTTGTTAATAAACTAAATTCGTTTAAGTGATTTTTGAAAATGTGTTGATGACCTTATTTCGTAGATATGACCAATAATTGACCAGTTCGAAAACATTTCAGCAGAATGATTTATCTATACACAGAACATACTTATGTCGATTTTTATCCGAACATAATCATTTAATAATGAATTATGTGGTATTTTGAGAAGTGAACCATATATGGGAGCTAATACCAATTATGGATTTATATATGGGCAATTTCGTCCAAAAACGTCCCTTATGATAGATATCCCACTCGTATCCCATTATGGGACTATAAAACTATTAAAGGAAATTGTATAAGTTTCATCTGAGCAAAAAAGGGAGTTTTTTTAAATAAAAAATATATATATAAAACAAGTGAGAGCGTTATATTCGGCTGTGCCGTATGTCATATACCCACCATCAAACCGTATGTCGTAAAAGGTATGCTTCCCTATAAACATCAGGGTGATATTTGGAATATGGTTAAGTCAGTTATTTACCGACCCTAAAAAAAATTGATAGAGAGGTTTTAGCTCATAAGAAACATACTTATATCGAAATTCATCGCTATACTCGAATTTTTAGGCCAGTAATGAGTGTTAAAATCATTTTATGAAGTGGAACTTATATGGGGGGTAGGGTCATTTATGGGCCGATCATAAAAAAATATAGTAAAAAGGTTTTGTCTGTAAGAACCTTGCTTGTACCGAATTTCACCACGGGATTACATAAGTTTAAATATTTTATATACGAAAATCTTTAAATCTTCATGTGTGTAAAGAAAATTGTTTAATTTTGTGGAAATTTAGCACATAGAAGATATATTTAAATTAAAACAATCCTATTAATTCCAATTTCTAAATAAAAACTTTTAGAATTTCATAATTTCTGAAACTTTTTAACTACATACTTCCTAAGTAAGTACTTTTTAAAACCGCATACTGTTACATGTAAACTAACAATTGCAACAAAGCCCACCCACATTCGAAGATCCGATGGGAATGGGCAAATTTTCATTAATTCAGGATTTACATAAACTGCTAGGCAACAGACCCTTTGGCTCTTTTCTTGTATGGTCATCTAAACATAACTCCGTCAATCGTATCAGTAAGTTAAAAGTAGCAAACTTACAAATAATTAAATTCTACCCCACGTGTAGTATACAAATATTATTTGCTGACAATAACGATCATTATTTAAATTATATCGTCGCTATAGAAACCTTACTTTTTACATGAATAAATAATTATACAATTAAGCAACTTTAAAGTTGATTTACCAATTACATTTGTACAACAAAGTCTTATCTATTGTATACTGTAGTGTAAACACACATATTACCACAAAAACTATAATGTGCCCTACAATTAAATATAGAGACCACATAGGGTTTTAAATCGTATTTTTTAGTTTCATTACTTCTTTTTTTAAATTTTTATAAAACATAAGTGTCATTACTGGTTACGGTCAAGGCTGATTAATCATAAAATGATTGTCCTGTTTTCTATTGTATAAACACGTAATTCCTTTTAAGGGTAGAAAACTATTTTGAATTAGAAAAATTCTCAGTTACAATTTCAAAGTGTTCAGAGACACTACAACGTCCGGTCTACTAAAATAAAAACTAAATAAATTTCAAATAATATAGTGACTTAGTTTGAGAATACCACAAAAAGTTAAAATGGCAGACGATGATAATAATGTAAGCATTCGTGTAAAGTACATGTTTAAAAAAAAGAATACAAATGAAACTTTTTCAACCAAAAAAAAAAAACTTTTAATTAAATACATAATATGTAATTAAATATGGTGTTCCAAATATTTAAAAATTAACTAAATAATGGATATTAAATAAAAATGTAAAGATTTGTTTAGTACTTTTTCCCACATTTTTACATTTGTTCAAGTACAATGTTATGTTCTAAATATAAAAATTTCAAAATACACTTATTCACACACGTACACACATCGTTCATTTAATACCAGACCGGCATAAATCAACTTGAGCGTTAAATGCCGGATCGCACACCGAAAATAATAGTCATTTTTGAAAACCGACAAAACTATATGAATGACTTTAATATGACACATATTTTCTAGTCCACAGTTCAAAAAACTTGAATTTTAGATTATGACAGTCTTGCAGTAAATGAGCGATATGTTTATGGAATTACCTCCATAGATTTAAAAACAAAGTATGTTTGTATACATTTTTGTTAAATTAACAGCGGGAACAATAACACCTGCCGCTGCACGCTGGTATATATCGTGGCATAAACCCATTTGTGGTAATAAAGGAAAATGCTAAAAAACATAATATTAAAACCTAGAAAAAATAATAATTACCCGCAGCTTAACGTGGAATGGGGAGAAATAATATCTATTGTAAATAAACAATGTTTTTAAAATTGTAGAAATTTAAGAAGATATTTAAAAAACATACTTTAAAATAAATGGACTTTGACAATTTCTTATTTCAAAAATAATTTTCGAAAAATAAATAAAAATACATATGGGGAATTTCATGTCAACTTTTAAAATCGATGTCCTTCGATTTGGTTGAAATTTGCACCAAGGTTAGTACTATGGAATAGTAGGTCAGATATCGGTTAAGTACTGCCGGAGACAAAGTTTGAAATTTTGGTCATACAGGGTTTTATTCCAATGAGTACTGATAGCTATTTCCAAGTAATCATAAAGCTCTTAAAGGAAATAGCCTAAGCTTACTTTTGAGTGAAAAAAAATCCAAAAAAAACGTCCATTTTGACGTTAGTTAGTTAGTTAGTTGTAGTTAGGTAAGTTAGTTAGTTAGTTAGGTTAGGTTAGTTAGTTAGTTAGTTAGTTAGTTAGTTAGTTATTTTTAGTTGTTAGTTAGTTAGTTAGTAGTAGTTAGTTACAGTTTTAGTTAGTTAGATTAGTTAGTTAGTAGTTAGTTAGTTAGTTAGTTTAGTTAGTTAGTTTAGTTAGTAGTTAGTTATGTTAGTTAGTAGTTAGTTAGTTAGTTATTTAGTTAGTTAGTTAGTTAGTTAGTTAGTTAGTTAGTGTTAGTTAGTTAGTTATTAGTTAGTTAGTTAGTTAGTTAGTTAGTTAGTTAGTTAGTTAGTAGTTAGTTAGTTAGTTAGGTTAGTTAGTTAGTTAGTTAGTTAGTTAGTTAGGTTAGTTAGTTAGTTAGTTAGTTAGTTAGTTAGTTAGTTAGTTAGTTAGTTAGTTAGTTAGTAGTTAGTTAGTTAGTTAGTTAGTTAGTTAGTTAGTTAGTTAGTTAGTTAGTTAGTTAGTTAGTTAGTTAGTTAGTTAGTTAGTTAGTTAGTTAGTTAGTAGTTAGTTAGTTAGTTAGTTAGTTAGTTAGTAGTAGTTAGTTAGTTAGTTAGTTAGTTAGTTAGTTAGTTAGTTAGTAGTTAGTAGTTAGTTAGTTAGTTAGTTATTAGTAGTTAGTAGTTAGTTAGTTAGTTAGTTAGTTAGTAGTTAGTTAGTTAGTTAGTTAGTTAGTTAGTTAGTTAGTTAGTTAGTTAGTTAGTTAGTTAGTTAGTTAGTTAGTTAGTTAGTTAGTTAGTTAGTTAGTTAGTTAGTTAGTTAGTTAGTTAGTTAGTTAGTTAGTTAGTTAGTTAGTTAGTTAGTTAGTTAGTTAGTTAGTTAGTTAGTTAGTTAGTTAGTTAGTTAGTTAGTTAGTTAGTTAGTTAGTTAGTTAGTTAGTTAGTTAGTTAGTTAGTTAGTTAGTTAGTTAGTTAGTTAGTAGTTAGTTAGTTAGTTAGTTAGTTAGTTAGTTAGTTAGTTAGTTAGTTAGTTAGTTAGTTAGTTAGTTAGTTAGTTAGTTAGTTAGTTAGTTAGTTAGTTAGTTAGTTAGTTAGTTAGTTAGTTAGTTAGTTAGTTAGTTAGTTAGTTAGTTAGTTAGTTAGTTAGTTAGTTAGTTAGTTAGTTAGTTAGTTAGTTAGTTAGTTAGTTAGTTAGTTAGTTAGTTAGTTAGTTAGTAGTTAGTTAGTTAGTTAGTTAGTTAGTTAGTTAGTTAGTTAGTTAGTTAGTTAGTTAGTTAGTTAGTTAGTTAGTTAGTTAGTTAGTTAGTTAGTTAGTTAGTTAGTTAGTTAGTTAGTAGTTAGTTAGTTAGTTAGTTAGTTAGTTAGTTAGTTAGTTAGTTAGTTAGTTAGTTAGTTAGTTAGTTAGTTAGTTAGTTAGTAGTAGTTAGTTAGTTAGTTAGTTAGTTAGTTAGTTAGTAGTTAGTTAGTTAGTTAGTTAGTTAGTTAGTTAGTAGTAGTTAGTTAGTTAGTTAGTTAGTTAGTTAGTTAGTTAGTTAGTTAGTTAGTTAGTTAGTTAGTTAGTTAGTTAGTTAGTTAGTTAGTTAGTTAGTTAGTTAGCGTACCTTAAATGAACTGCTAATTTCAAATTGAATATTTATGGAAATGTTCAGTCATCAGGACTGTCGTGTGATATTATAATATTTAGATATTATAATATTTAGACTAATTTAATATTCTCAAAAAGTGAGATTTTTCCATTGATATACTAAAGTTTAGTAACTATACTTTGACATGCGATTACGGTATATACTTTGTATTATTAAATGCATAATTATAGTGGTTGGGATTAATTAATTCAGTTTTTACTTTGAAATAGTTTTGTAAATTATACAAACACACACAAAGCAATAATAAAGTTTCCAGTGGTAGTTTTTGGACAGATTCCTTTATCAGAGCAATGGTATACTTTTGCGTGTTTTAATTTTTTTTTAACGCACAATGCCTTTGGATTTTTGGCATTTTATTACTTTTCTAATAAGTACTTTACCAAAAGTGTCCCTTCCTCTGATTTATAAACTCCAAAAGATAATGCGATTTGTTGGCCTATAATTAAATAGTTATAAATAAATAGAAATATGCGCAAGATTTTCACCCCTTTGAAAACAAAGCTATAGTTCAGTGTATGGTGCAACCTATAGTTTCGATCATAGATATGAAAATCCTGTACTTTACTTGTAACTCAAGTGTTTGGAATCGTGTTATCCCGGGTATTTATTTTCTGTCGCATAGTGTTATTTCTTTAAAATTTCGGAAAATTCCAAGCTGCAGAGACACTAATTTGATATAAATATATAATTGGTTTAACTAATACATCTAATGTTACCATAGATTATTTTTAATTGGAATTTATTATACGTTGTATAATTAATCCAAGCAATTTATGAATTTTTACACGTTATATATATAACTTGTTTCTTTGCTTTTGTTCATTTTAGATGAGAATAAGAAATCTTTATTCCAGTGAAGCAAAATTGGCTCAAAAATCCCAACGTGAATTGGCAGATGGTACCGAAAAAGATGTATTGACAAAATTGCGTTTATTGTGTTTAAGTCGTGGTGCCACCGGCATTTCAGGGCTGGGCAGGTAATTAATACGAGAAGTATATTTATTCAGTTTTAATTCTGTTTATTTTGTTCTACAATAAATTATCCATAAGAAAAGTAATAGCTTTGCTATTTAATAGAGAAAAATTTTAAGAGATTTATTTCTTTTGCAAGTTGTTTTTTTCATAATTTTTCTCATTATTATTATTATTTTGTGCATAAAATTATCATAGAGCCTTTCGCAATATGGACGATGATGGCAGCAAAGCATTAAATGAGGAGGAATTTGTCAAAGGTATACGTGAGTTTGGTCTGGACTTAAGTGATGAAGAGCTCAAGGAATTGTTTCAAACGTTAGTATTTGTACTATGTCTGTGGAGAGATAATTTAACTAAATATCATAAAAGTGTCTAATCATAAATTATTGCACTTAATAATTTTTCATTTTCATTGTGTCTTTTGCATGACTATTTATTTTACAAAGTTTCGATGAAGACGGCAGTGGCTCTATTAATATGACTGAATTTTTATTAAAATTACGTGTGAGTAGCAGTTTTGTTAAATTTTGCATTATTCGTTGCTTTATTAGTTGCATAATTTATTTTCTGTTGATAATTTACTTAAATAGCCACCCATGCCTCAGAGTCGTCTAGACATTATTGAACAAGCATTCAATAAAATGGACAAAAATGGTGATGGTGTCATTACCGTAGAAGACTTAAAACATGTTTATTCTGTAAAGGAACATCCAAAATATGAAACTGGCGAAATGACTGAAGATGAATTACTACGAGATTATTTGAATAATTTTGAAGGTGTACGTGGCAATAACGATGGAACTGTAAGTGTTTATATGAACTGTAATGGTTTGGATATTTTATGGAACCTTTTTTACATGAAAAATAATAAGTAGATGAATAATGGTTGGATTTAAGACCTTTGTAAGAGTAGTAAGTTTAACTGTCTATAATTAACAAATAGAGAAGCTAGACTATAAAATAATTAGTTACGTCTGTCCGTCAGTCTGCTGTAAGCACGATAGTGGTCAAATGTAAAGAAATAGAGGAATGAAATTTTCCTCGTACAATCACAATATAATTTCATGTGTCTAGTTCTTTTTTTATATTAATCAGTGCCTCGGGCGAGAATCTAACGCAACACCTCCGGTGTACCAGACTGTCTAAAAATCATATTTAAAATTTTTGTGATAATCAAACTTCATTTGATTCTAGCCTCATAAATAGTTCTTTTCAGCAAATGACATAAACAATTAAGAATGATAAAATCGATCCCAGTCCCCATAAAAGAGTTATTATAATTTTAGTTTTAAACGAGTCTTGAGCTTTAAAGTAATTTTATAAATGAGTGCTTGTATTTTAGTTCTCTAGTTCATCCCGTTAAAGGGCCCTTTACACGATCACACTTTACGTACGACAAGTCTAACGAAAAAGTAAAATGAAATTCTCTCAATGTGTGATGGTTTCAGTACATATTGCGTTTAGACGATCCCATCCGTCCTCTTTTACGCAAAATTTTGACAGATCATATTACTTGTGTACTCGTGTGAAGGAGGCTTAAGGTGTTATGAACACAAAGATGGGCGATGAGAATCTAATAAATAACTAGTTATATCCTCCACCAACATCACAAGTGATAGAGGGTATATATAAGTTTGTCATTCCATGTGTAATACCATTCAAGACCCAACAAATTATATATGTATATTCCGGTTCTTTATGAATGAGTCGATTTAGCTATGTCGTCTGTCTGTCTGCCTAAACACGCTCGTGTTAAAACTAATCAAAGAAAATCAACCAAATTCACCACAAATATTCATAATTGTCCTAAGCAGTTTGGTATTGCAAATCAGCAAAATCGCTTAACAACGTCAAAAGTTATGAGTAAAAATTTCAGACTAACTCTACAAAATAATTTTTTTACTAATTCTCGAGTAGTTTTCTTTGAACTACAGAAGGTAATTCGATGAATTTTGAATTTTTGTAAATCATATAAATTGGTATTGAAAATGGGCAATATCGTTCCACGATTTCACCTAGCCCCCATATAAGGTCCTCTTCAGAAAATATACCGATAAGAATCGGTCTATCATTTGCCCTACCCCCATATGAGGTCCCTTTCAGAAAATGAAATTCGACATGAAGAAGTTTTATTGGAACTAAAATATGCTTGTTCCCCTCAGAAAATGGCTTTAACATAGTTAACTGGTTTGAGGTACATGGATAGCAATGCAATTCAGCATAAAAAGTTTTATTGAATCCAAAATGTTTATCAAATATTGTGAGGATTTGTTCCTGTATTATCATAACATATAATAACGTCAAGGTGATACTACTATTTATATAGGATATTAAAATTAGAACAAATGAGTAAATTGTGAAAACAAATAACAAACAAAAAAAAAACTAGTAAGAAATTAAAGTCGGGCGAGGCCGACCATATAATACCCTACACTTGTTACAAAAATAAAATCTGATTTAGTTTTCATAATAAAGCATTTAAGATGAATTGTACCTTGTCTCAGATATACTAAAGCCATTTATTGTTGAATAAAATTGTGGACATTTAAGCCAAATTTTGATGGGAGCTTCGTATAGGGGCTATGGTCAAATGAGTCCATATAATTATAAAATTCATGAGAGTCATAATGGATAGAACTTGATTTTGCAGCTTTTTGTCGAGATACGATTATATTAAAAATAATTATGAACTTGAAAGCCCTATTCCTCAGGTTCAGTTGTATGGGGCAAGGTGAAATCATTTCAATAGACTTCGTCTCCCGTACCATAGAAGATCATGTGCCAAATCTCATTGAATTATCTTCAAAATTGCGACCTGTAGTTTGATTATAAGGTTTACAAGCCCTATTCAGGTGTTCAGTTGAATGGGGGCTAGGTGAAATAATGGACCGATCTTAACCATTTTCAATAGGCATTGTCCCTGGGACAATAGAAGGTCATGTACCAAATGTTCATTCAATTATCTTCAAAATTGCGTCTAAATCGACTCAGAAAATGATTCTAAGCCGATTGGTATACTTTAAGGTGGGTATAGGACCAATATTATTGTGCGTTACAAAAATCACATCACTAAAGTTGTGTAGGGTATAATGACTTAATATAGCATAGGAACACATTCCGAAATTCACTTGAAATATGTGTATATAACATGATTTGATTGTGGGTATATAAGATTCTACATAGCCGAATATAATACTCTTACTTTTTTGTATATAAAATCACCCCGGATCGGTCCACAATTGATCATACTTCCTATATAAAGTCCACTTCCGGAAATGACATATTTCATTGACAAAAAAGAGACATCGCAATAAAATTCGACATCGCAAAATATCTTGTGTATACACAGAAAAAATTATCAGTAGTTTATTTTCAATTAACATGTTTTTCTCTTTCTTTAATTTTAATTTAAGTAATTTTTTATTTGTCTTAATTATCTCGTTGTTTAAAACATAATTTTACAAATTTGATTAAATTTTTAATTGATTCAATTAGTTTTTTAATTGATTGAAAAAAATTTTCTGGCCAACTTTTCTATTGTAGTTTTTTTTTAAATATTTTATTTTGATTTCTTATGCAAACAATGTTTATAATTCTTAAATAGTCAATACGATTTTAGGTATATAATATTCAAGTTTCCTGACAATTTATAAAACACTTTATATGTTCAAATTTGATAATAAAGTGATATTTTTTGTAAATGCTCAACGCATTGTTAAAGGTCAAGCATTCCTTTAACATTGTGAGTAATCAATTAATAATTTGATTGTTTTAACCATCAACTCAATTGGTTTTTAATACATTTTCTACCAAACAAACTAATTCATTTGATTAATAAATTAATAAAAATTAGATTTTATTTTTATTAAATATTTAATTTATACAATTAATGAATTAATCAATTTTAAATTTTGTCTCAATTATTGATATTAATTGTTCTGATTAATTCGTTATTTGGAAAAAAAAAGTATTTTTTTAATTTTTTTACAAATTTGATAATTGATATCATCATTTTGGTGATAGGTGCAAAACTTGCTTGATACAATTATTTTGATAATTGAAACATATTTTTAGTTTTTTCTGTGTATACAAATCATTCAGCAACATTTTTTCCCAATCAGTCCATAATTGGTCATAGATTCGGCATAGTCGAATATAGCACTCTAATATGTTTAACCATATGATTTAATTCTCTCTTATTTCCCAACAGATAACCAAGGAAGAGTTTACAAACTATTATGCTTCGATAAGTGCATCCATTGATAACAACATGTATTTCGACTTAATGATGAGACGTGCCTTCACTCTTTAAGTGCGGCATAGGAATGAAATCGTTCAAAATATAATTTATATACTATGTACTACAGATACTGCTTATATTTTTATTAACGAACAAAATTTTTTTGCAAAAATTTACTAATTTTTAACAAAAATAATAATTTAATTTTAATGTTTAATAAATTAAATACATAACAAATAAATTAGTAAAATTCTATTTTATTTGGTTAATGCCAAATTAAGGTATTTCATTTATAAAATGTAATAATTAACTGACGAAATATTTATTAAAGTTTTTTCTCAAAGTAATACACTGAAGAGTTTGTAATTAAATTAAAAAAGGAAAGACAATTTCAATAAATCAAGGATGGAAATAATATGAACTGCATTCATATTATTAATAACATTTCAGTAATAGTTTCCAAAGTTTTTCTTACAGTTCAACTCTCATTAATAATACGCTCAACAGTTGCTGTTAACATCAACTAATAACTACGACTACGTAGTATGACTACGACTGCTAAAACTTTTAATTGACTATATTTATGCCAAGCTTAAAAATAAATAAAAAATAGAAAAAAATTGTTTGTTGTACACTAATTTTTTTGTTTTATTTGCTATTTTTTATCACACAGTCTCTTTCCATGGTAGGTAGGTAGGTAGGTTGATAGGAGGATGTATACTACATCAAATCCGAAGAAATACACCTAGGCCACTATCGGGCCTGTTGTGCGCTCCAATTCAAGAAAAAAAAAAAAAAAAAAAAAAAAAAAAAAAAAAAAAAAAATTGTTCACTGAATGTATTATTTTTCCATGTTCAGAAACTCAGTTTCCTGGACGTAATTCCTAAGAATCTTCCAATCGGTGTTGGTTAAGAATGTTATTTCTGGAATAACATCACTTCCAAGATACTTGGATCTAACTTCGACGAATGCCTGACAATGGCAAAGAAAGTGCTCCAGAGTTTCACTGTCCTCTCCACATGCTCTACATTCGTCTGAATTCGCACGTCCAATTTTGTATAGATGTGCTCGTAATCCTGTGTGTCCACTGAGAATACGTACCATCATACTAACCTCAGACTTGCTCATTTTGAGAAGATTTCTCGTCTTGCTCTCATCAGGGTCACCCCATAGAATCTTTGTGGTTCTACCCACCGTTTCATTATTCCAAGAGGCCTTATGGGATTCTCTCATCCATATTTTTAATTCAGCTTTTGTTGCGTCGAATGGTTTTGCGTTTGTCAGGTTAACTACATCGAGCTCCCTTCCCTTTAAAGCTATTACATTCGCCCTTTCGTTGCCGGCTACTCCCGAGTGGCCTGGTACCCATATGATGTGAACCTTACCTCTGGGAGAGTATTCAGTTAAAGCTTTCTTACAATCCAATACGGTCTTAGATTTAATTCTATCACCTGATATCGCACAAATTGCCTTCTGGCTGTCGGTAAATATATTAAGCCCTGTGGGCGCCATATTTATTCTAATCCAATTTACACATTCCGTTATTGCTCGTACTTCTGCCTGGAAGCTTGTGTTATGATTAGGTAAACGGTGGTATATTTCTGTTTCTGGGTCTTCAATATAGAACCCCAGACCCACTTTGTCCCCTAATTTAGAGCCATCCGTGTAGCAACGGATTCCTACTGGTATTTGCTCTAATGTTCCGCTTGACCAAGACATTCTATCTGGGATTAGCGTTTCAAAGTTTCCGACATATTCAGTGTCTGGTATGCGATCAGGCACGTCCGATGAATGTGTATAACCTTCCAATGTGTCCAGTATACATTGATGACGTGTCCTATAACCGTTTTTGGCCAGTTCGCCTAAAGTAAAGAGCCGTTCGGCTGTAAGCGCCGCCTCATATCTTATATATGTTTCAATGGGTGGAATATCTAGCAACGTTTCCAGAGCCTTGGTTGAAGTAGTACACATGGCACCACTTATACCCAAGCAGCATGTACGCTGAACTCCCTGTAGTAGTTTGATATTACACTTTTTGTCCAAAGCAGTCCACCAGATTATTGAAGCATAAGCTAGAATTGGTCTAATTACACTTTTATAAAGCCAATTTGTCATAGTAGGACTAAGACCCCATTTCATGCCTATGGTTCTCCTACATATCGCCCAGCACCGATGTGCCTTGTTGATCCTATCCTCTATGTGGTGTCTCCATTTTAATTTCCGGTCAAGTATTACACCTAAGTACTTAACTTTGTCTGTCACCGGTATCTTCTTGCCCAAGAAGAAAGGTTCAGTATATGTAGAAATTTTTGTCTTTCTTGTGAAAAGACAGATTTCCGTCTTCGCCGGGTTAACATTGAGGCCTCTCGGTTGAGCCCAGCTCAAGGCCGTATTCAGAGCCTCCTCAGCTCTTCTACACAAGTAATTTGGATCCTTTCCCTTTAAAAGTATTACGACATCGTCTGCATAGCAGACAGGTCTAAGTCCTTTCTCGGTTAGGGTCCTTAGGAGGCTATTAATCGTGGTGACCCAGAGTAAAGGTGACAAAATGCCACCCTGTGGTATACCGCGAAATACCTTTTTCCTGATAGTTATATCGTACATCTCGCAGCTTATCCATCTGTTCCTTAGCATGTAGTTGATCCAGTTACGGAGCACCCGGTCAACATAAAACTGGTCTAGGGATTGGATAAGGGTATCAGTGTGCACGTTATTGAAAGCGCCTTCGATGTCAATGCATACTGCCAGTGTATACAGTTTGCTATCGAAAGATTCACTTATGTAGTGGACAACTTCATTTAAAGCGGTCTCCACCGATCGTCCCTTTACATAAGCATGCTGCTTATATTTAAGGTCATTGTATGGTATGCTGCTTTTAACCATGCTATCGACTATCCGTTCCAAGGTTTTAAGTAGGAAGGACGTAAGACTTATCGGTCGATAGGACTTAGGTGTCGCATAGCTAGGTTTCCCTGGTTTGGGTATAAATATTACCCTTGCATCCTGCCATTTAACTGGGGTATAAGCCAATTTTAAGCATGCAGTGAATATCTGTGACAGATGTACGGAAACCAGTCCCGCCTCCATCTGCAAAAGTGCCGGGAAAATTCCATCCGGCCCTGCAGCTTTATAGGGAGCAAAGCTCTTGATTGCCCCTTTAACCATGTCAGTTGTAATAACTATTTCCGTGTTACCCTCCCCTTCCTCCAATATCGGTTCATCTATGTTATTCGATATACCGGGTGGGAAATGAGAATCCATTAGGAGTTTCATTGTCTCCTCCATATCCTCAAGCCTCCTGCCCGTGTCATCGATCATAGATTCCGGTTGGACATGAGTTTTGGATAGGAATTTTTTTATCTTCGATACCTCATTTACGCTATCTACCTGTTCACAGAAAAGTTTCCAGGAGTCTCGTTTGGCTCTTCGAACGATTTTCTTATATTCACCAAGTTTATTACGATACTCATCCCAGTATACTGCGGTCTTTTTACGCCGTGCCCGGTTAAATAGTTTGCGAAGAGTCTTCCCAAGGTTCCGGATCTCCCCAGTTACCCAGGGTTTTTCCTGGGCAGATCTCCGCTCTCGCAGAGGGCAGCTGTCCTCGAACGATTCAACCAGGGCACTTGTGAACGTTTCCACTTTGGCATCTATATCCTCTTTATTTCGACATTGAAAAGTGTCCTGACCTAAACGGTTCTTTAGTAAGGCCCCGAACATTGTCCAATTAGTTTTAGACTTATTCCGAAACTTTATCGGCTTTGGTGGTGGCCTTAGTATTTTGAATCTTATGTACCGATGATCAGAAAAGGAGTGCTCGTCCGAAACTCTCCAATCCTGAATTTCGTTTATAAGCTCTTCTGAACATATAGTTATATCTAATACTTCTTCTCTGATTCTATTGACGAAGGTAGCTTTATTACCTAAGTTCAATGTTATCAAGTCTTTAGTATTAAAGAAATCCATGAGGGCTTGTCCCCTGCGATTGGTGTTTGTACTACCCCAAGCTACATGATGCGAGTTGGCATCACAACCTATTACAATTTTCTTATTTTTCCTTTGTGCCTCTTCAACCAGTTTCATCAGATCCGACGTTGGTGGTAGGGTCGGAGAATCGAAAGGCAGGTAAATAGATGCAAGGTATATGTTGCCTCGACCTTGCTTCAGCACCGTTGCATCCGATGTTGATAATCCTGTTGAGAGGAGAAAACATAAGTTCTTGTGACATAAGATACATGTTCTCGGGCGAGATCCTGTATCAGCGTAGAAAAGTTGGAAATTTACGTGATTTAATCCAGAAACCTTGTTGCGAATCGTCCAAGGTTCCTGGATTAAAGCTATATGTATTTTACCTGTGTTGATTTTAGCCATCAGAGCGTTGGTAGCTGTCTCGCTCCGATGGAGGTTTATTTGGATAACCTCAATCATGGTCATCCATTAAACTGTCTTCCAGCGAGTTGGTGGTCACCTCCTCGCTCTTTGGATTTGACTCCTCCGGATAGCCTGAAGTGGCTATTAATGCAGTGAGTACTGTTGATGGCACTGCGGTGTCCTTATCAGGCATAGGAATAGCAGTATTTTTAATAGACACATTCCCAATTCTGGAGAGCATTGCTGTTCTGTCTTCTGGCGGGTGAGTGATTTCCTCCTCGCTTTTAGGATTTGACTCCTCAACATTGCTAGTACTTGCTAATGATGCTTTGGGTACTGTCTTAGGTGTTTTAGTGTCCTTGTCGGGGCCGGTTTTGACAGCCCTTTCAATCGGCGCCTTCCCAATTTTGGAAAGGGCAACTACACTTTCTTCTGGCGAGTTAATGGTAAATTCCTCGATTTTAGGATTTGACTCCTCAACGTTATCAGTAGTGGATACTGTGGTCTTAGGTTTTTTAGTGTCCTTTTCGAGGCTTGTTGTAACAGCCCTTCCAATCGGCACCTTCCCAATTTTGAATATGACAGATTTAGAGGCGAAGTAAGCCCTACCTTTATTCTTGGCAAGACTAGCCATGGATTTCTGGTCGATACCTATTACAAATAAAGTTCCCTCAGGTTCTTCTTTCCTGTAAAAGACATCCCATTTTTCCACGGCCAGCTCAGCATTTTGACCTCCAAGAATTTCCAGTATACGTTCATTAGCCAGTTTACTGCCCCATCCTTTTATGTAGACAGTGGACTTTTGGAGCACCGGAAGCTCGCTCTTCTTTGCCAGTCCCAGCCTAGCGCCGTCCCAGGGAGGAGGGATACTTTCCACCAAGTTCTTTAGGGTGCTAACACATTGGTGAGATGCCAACC